ACCAATGCACCACGAGGACCCAATGGCCCAGTACCACCAGCAAATGTCAATGCCTCCTTCCATGCAAAACACAGTCGTCAAGAGCCGAGAGCACCGCGAGCTCAGCCAGTCTTTCCAGTACGACCGCAACGGTATCCCCTTGTCGCAAGTCCACCAGCGTCACAGCTCGATGCCTGCGTACATGGAGTACTCGCCTGCGCCATCTTTCGTCTCTTCTCACTACGAGGATTACAGCACTCGCGGCATGTCCTTCGAGCCATTGACCCCTCCTCAACACCAGATTGGCCTCGGTGCTGAGCCTGCCTACATTGCGAACGAGGACACTGGTCTTTACAGCGCCATTCCAGACCTTCCAGTTCCCAACACATTCAACCCTCTGATGAACATGCCACCATCGAACTTGATGGGATCTGGCTACCCTGGTGTCTCACGACCATTCGCTCCTGGCAACGTCTACTCCGTCATTGAAGGTTCGCCTACCTACAAGCAACGCCGGAGGCGTTCGTCCCTCTCTGCGGGCATCGCCGCCGCTGTCACCGCTTCCGGTGCCGGTGCTCACCAGGTTCACCGCCCAAGTGATCTGAGGCGATCAATGTCAAGCTCCGTCGTTCCCCTTGCTGAGGTCGACGAGTCAAACCACAACTCGCCCAACAGCCAGAACGGTACAAGCTACCCTCAGATGCCTGAGGCGAAGCCTCACATGGACATGTCCCGACAGGGTACCCCACTCAACACCGTCGAAGAGAGCCCGGAGCCACAATCGGCTTCGCTGCACCACGACGACCTGAACACCCTGGTCAACGGCGAGCTGTTTGAGAGCCCCCTCCAGCACAGCGCAGTCGCTCGTACCGCTGGTGCAGGACCCGTTTTCCGACGCGCCCGCAGTGCTACCATGATGGAAATCGGCCCGTACCCCCAGAAATCGCACTCCTGCCCGATCCCCACATGTGGTCGTCTCTTCAAGAGATTAGAACACCTCAAGAGGTAAGCGCTCACAATCTCCCCATCATTCTATTTTTGTGACACAAGGTCACTTGAATCTCCACTATTTTTGTTGTTTTGCATAGACGCTGACCTGGCGCTTAGACACGTACGCACCCACACACAAGAACGACCATACGTTTGCCCGTTGTGCAACAAGGCCTTCTCGCGCTCAGACAACCTTGCCCAGTGAGTACCCATGTTGACATCCAATTATAAACCACATACTAATTAATTCATCAGACATCGTCGCACACACGAGCCCCGCGCTGACGGCGAGCCGCTGAGCGACTACCAAGATGAAGAAGACCTTGAAGGCGAGGATGACCACCTCAACTCACTCCAAGACGAGCTTTCGCCCGAGTCTGGCAACGAGTACCTCGGCCTGTCGCACTCTATCAACGATATTCCCGGTCCAGGACTCGGCATGACCATGGCGCCACCACAACACAGCCTCATGGCCGGCAGCCACTACTGAGCATACCCTATCACGACGTTACACACGTGACATGAGCATTTCGGCGCAATCAAGGGCGCAGCCATCTAGAAGGATACCAGTCTGCTGTTTTTTGTTCAATCTTCTTGTTCCACTTCGCGTTTAATCCTCTTAGACCGATGTCTGTTCTTGTGTTACCGGCATACACTTTCCATGTCCGCGCTGCATCTGTTTTCCTTTTTCCTTTCCAACCTTCGGAGCTAGGGGATGGTGTGATACCACCGGCTTTTGGGGGATTGGGTGACGACACAACACTACGAACATGAGTACCACTTCTTTTTCTCGTCTCATCGTTTCACGTTTCTTTCTCTTTTTTCTTTTCTTTTTCTGCCCTTTCCGATCTGTTGCTCAGCGCTTGTTGATGGATATATCCTTGGTGGCATGGTTTGCTTTGTTGCAAAAGTTGTTTGATGGTGGACTGGGAAGTTTGGATACCATTTGAAGCGCACGTATACGCATATCGTTGCTGTTTTATCTTTGAAGATATGCAGGTAGCTTGGTGGTTTACGTCTGTCCTCTTCAAGAGGCGGCGTGTGTATAATATTTGAACTCAATGCAAAACGCATAACTGCAACTTTATCTTTATTGCCGTGATACTCGCCTGCCCTTTGACCATGGTGACCATCGCCGTCAATACCCACTTCATCCTGCATTGCATCCTCAGTCACATCACATCAATGCTTTCACAAAACAGCACTCAAGATGAAACAACACTTCATCTCGTCACACTTGCCATGAGCACATATCTTGATCCCCGTCTTGCCCCACTGAACAGCATAGCACAGCATCAGCATACAATACCCACCTCGCGCACTTCGCAAATAGTCATACCGACAATTCGCCTCTCACCCCTGCCCAAACCAACACTTCACCTTACCTTGCCTCCTGCACATGTTTACGTCATATATGGCCAACGCGCTTGTTTCAGGAGTACTGCGCCGTACATATGCCATGCCATGCAGCAGATGTATAGTACTGTGCCGCAACTGCACCGTGCCGCAAAGCAAACTTAGGTAGAATCGGACGAGGGACTGAGGGGACGTGCTGCTAACATATGGCTCGCGTGTGGCTTGCCGGAAAAGGTCGGAGCGGTGGTGGAGAGAGGCACACATACATATCTTTTTGTTGGTTTGCGTGAACGGTGTCTGTGCAGATGATGTGGATGAGTGGAGATGGGAATTCGTGTGGTGGGTTTCTGGATGGCGGACACGTGGGGGGTGGGGCTGTGCATATGGGCTTTTGGATAGGCTTTTTAGGTGGGCTTTTTGGATGGCAGTGGTGGCACTGTACGTTGAGATTATCGGACTTGTGGCTGTGGATGGCAAACTTGGGGCGGTGTGTAGTGTAGGAGTTGGCTTTTACCGACGCGGTCTCGGAGTCCGGGAGGGATTGGCTGATGGATACTATTACGGCTTACGAACACTGCCTGATTCTTTTGCTATATCCATGATGTTCAGGCTTAGTGCATACTTGCTACTTAGTTGCAGTAAGATGATATTTGGCATGCAATCGGTATGGACACATGGTGGTATGAGTGTTGAGCATTCGGGGAGACTCAGTAGGTCGGAGGGGTCTTAAGCGGTACTTCTCGCTAATCGCCGATTCAAAGTTTCTATATTCACAGTTGGGCAGGTACCTCGAAAAAGCCGTGGTAAGAGCACCTGTTCGGAGGGCTGCCGACTGGTACACCTCGCTTATATGCCGATCAAAGTGCAACCGTATTGTTCGATCTCGCGATCGCATAGCGCGAAGTGGAGGGAAAAGACAGGGTGCATGTATAGCCCCGCGCTAGAAAGCGCGAAGAAGTACCTCTATGGTCTGTTGACATGTTTCTTTTTGACGGGAACGTTGCTGCCGTGTGTAGGCGTGCTTTGTGGTACGCTTACGGGAGCAGCTTGCTCATGCCGTATGTTTTCTCTTTTCGGGAGTTTGTGCCGCCGTTGTAGGGATACCATGTACATTTGTCCAGGAGGATAACGCGCGGTCTGTGAGTGGTTGTGTGTAAGATGATGTTGCGGTCTTAGTTCGCCATCGCCAAAGGTAGGGTAATTTGCTTATCCTTGTTCATTTCAACGTACCGATGCTACCTCGAATCAGTTGGACGATTACGTGATCACTTCTTGAGTAGTTTGTGTATAGATTGTTTTTCTTTTGAAGTACTAAGCGGTGTCCGTAGTGTGTGCTTGTGGGGAAATACCCTTGAGTCTTGCAGGGTAGATGATACCTAGGTAGTAACAAACAGCTCAGACCTCACATACCTACACATGCGAGATTTGGTCTTATTGCCTAAGTACGGCTAAAGGGTCGGAGTGATGAATAATTCGACCGTGCATCCACTTTTCTTCGAAGTTCAATGTGCTAGATCGACGATGAGTCGAGGCACTCATCTCAGGATGATGCACTTAGCTGCCTACCTAGATACTTTTGGGTGCCCTTTTCCTGGGAAAGGAAGCGGGGCCAGCGAATTTACCAGGTGTCAAGGTGGATACATTCCGTTTCCTTCAAGATTGGCTATGTGCGCAAGCGACACGACATAAGAGCTTTGTCTCGATCGAATCTACGGGGTAAATGAAGCCTACATAGGTTATAATCACTCTGCTTAGCTGATCTCGAAGGTATAATGCTACGCTATACATAGATGCATCTTACGTACTTACAGCTTGACATGTGTTTGCCTGGAAGTTCTTGGCTCTGATGTAAGATTTGTTTTGATGTGTTCCTCGCCTTCGTGTCTTTGCAAACGTGTCCAATGTGCCTTGGTTGAGGCAAGACATCATGACTTGTTGACCTTCAGAGACTGCACACAAAATTCCCAAAGCTATTGTTTGACAACAACATCTCGATGAGATCACTGTTAGAAAACTCCCCATCTCGAGTTGAAATTCTGAAGCAGCATGTCTGCGATGTTGTCAATCTCGATATAGGCCCACTCGATGTCGCGGGTGTCAACAATTGCGGAAATAATGTGGGTAATAGCATCCAGGCAGAATATGCACTACTACAGGAGATTCATTGAATGATGTTCAAGAAAGGTGTAATTTCATGGGCATCGGAATAACAATGGGCAGATTGAGTGCCGCCGACATTAAACATTTGATATGCAGTTCACATGAACCTTTCGCGCAACGTGTTCGGCCTTTAAGCCTACCATGAAACACAATGCTAGGCTAAGAAGGAAACTATAGATATGAAGAACATGAGAGCTAAGGAAGAGACCAAAAACTGAAAGATGGAGGATAATGTAATCTTAAGTTTCTGACGAAGACAAAGACATAGGCCAACAGCGGAATCGGATTACCGGATATAGCAATTGAATTGTCTGAACATCGTTGAGAACCCTCTGAATGTATCGGGATAAGCGCTGGATATTCTTCTAACCAGGTACGGATCATAGCTCCATTGGTAGCCTACCGTCGGTTCACGAGGTTCACTCCACGAATAACCCCACCTTCTCAAACACACGTTCTCCAAACGATTTTCTGCTCAGACTGTAGCCTGATTTAGCCGGCTTTAGAGCAGAGATATGGCAGAATTTGCCCCTCCAGTCCGCCGCGGCGACTTCGTTTACTCCTCCGTCCTCTACGCAGACCCTGGCGGGAATCACCACACGCGCGCCAGTGTCGCTGAGCTTACGGCTCTCCTCCGTCCGGAAGCACCCAATCTATACAACAAGGGTAAAACGCCCGAAGTCGCGACATCAGTAAAGGATCAAGTGTGGCATTTCTATGCTGCCCAGCTCATTCACTATGGTTTGCCGGTCACAAAGGACAAGAACGCGGCGAAAGTGCGACTCCTGAATGCCATGAAACAATTCAAGCTTGAGGTACCAGCGTGGATTTTGGAGGTGGAGAGCGAACTAAAAGCCGAGTGGGAGGCAGAGAATAGGAAATTAAAGAAGGGTGCCAGTTTGGTAAGTTATCACTATACGGAAAACATGTGAAACATACACTGAATTCGTATCTTTACCTCTGTAGGGCAAGAAGGCGACCAAGTCTAGCACTGTCGGCAGTTCAAGTATGGGCAGTTCTCACGGTGTAACTGGTGGGGTCAACGTCTCTGGTAGGCTTACAACCTTTGATACCTAGGTATCTTCCCGGCGCTGACGCTATACTAAAGTCAACCTAACCTTGAATTCCGGAGGATCACCATACAGCCAGTATATGTACACACAACGGGCTAGCCAAAACACCCCAGACAAGTCATCACGAATTAAGCGTAAGCGCGCGGACAGCAATGTATCCAGTCCGGTAGCGACGCCACAGAAAGTAGCAAGAGTCAAGAAAGAACCCACAACAAAGCGATCTGTCTCCACCGTCAAGAAAGAGAGCCGCGTCTCAACACCGTCATCAACCCCTTCACGATCTCGCGTCAAGCAAGAGCAGTATGATCTAACGCCGATGCGCTCCTCTCCATACATCAAGTCCGACCCACACCAGAACCACTATCAACCCGAGCCTTCACTACTCCTCAGCGGTACTTACTCCATCGATTGTGCCAGTGCTAGCTCCGTTTTCGACGACTGTAACCTCGACCTCACGCTCGCTTGCGATTCCTCCTGTGGCTTATGGTGGGCAACATTTCGCTGGGGCGCTTGGGACGGTATCATCCAGATGAACCCAGGTCCAAGTGACTCCAATAGCCTAGGTCTACCTTGTTCACTGGGATGGCGTCTTCGTGATCTAAACACCGGCAAGCTGACGTTTGGTCGTAAGTGCACTGGTACGATGACGTTCTTCAGGGATGGTATGGTGGATGGTTGTCTCTATGAGGTGCCGGGTGTTGGCGATTTGGTTTTCGAGGGCACCAGGATGGCTGGTGGTAACTTGGAGGATGATTTGAAGGAGGAGTGGGATGGCTTTGTTACCGAGGCTTATCGCCGTTGAGCTCTAGGTAGTCTCGATGAGCGAAGACGTATGGCCAGTGATTCTTAGGGCTATTGACGTTAAGAAAGAGTGATCAACTTCTCAAGGACGGTTCCACCAATTTTGCACTGCAACCATCAGCGCTGGAGAGCAGAAATCTCATGTTTCTTATAGTTGTCGCATTGAGCGATAACATTGACTATGACTTGTTAGAACATCAGATACACGTACAAAGCAAGATCCAAGTCAACCAATGAAGATGTTCATCCAAACATTTCTCAATTAGCCTGACAGCTACTTTACGTATAATACACTACAAGTTTCTACAAGAAAGGTTCGAAAAACCTTCTCTTTCTGCGCTCCAATCATTCGCTCTGATATGACGAAAGGCAGCGCGGGACAAACACCACCCAACGCCAAAGCATGACTACCACACGGTATCGTCATCGGCTTCTTCTTCAAACATGAGAAAGCAAGGCGTCTAGAAACATGACACCGAGACGCTAATATATCTATCAACACACAAAGGAAATTATATGCGCAGAGCATGTAATATCAGAAACTCCCGTATCTAGCAGATTTCCTATCGTTGCTGCCATGGACCACGATCCTGTGGATGTCCCTGTGGATGTCGCACTCCGCTCACCCAGTCCATGGGTCCTGCAGGGGGCCGTGGATCGTGTATTGACCCTGGTCCTGAGCTGGGGGCTTGTGGTGGCGGCGGACCCCTCATCTCAGCTCTTCCTCGCATGATACTTTCCCTGTAATGCGCATCTCGTGCATGGCTTTCGCGCATTTCCCGTTCCCTCACGTCTCGCTCAGCTTCTCTTCGCATGTGTTCATCTCGATTCATCGCTGCCTGGTGTTGAGCTTGAGCTTGCTCTTCGCGGATACGATCTGTCATGCTGCGATCGCGAGGATCGCGCATGAAACGATGCGGTTCTTCGGGAGGACGTTGACCATAGAGCGCCTGATTTGCTACGCCGAGTGACGAGTGCGGAGGATGTTGCAAAGGTGGAGGCTGACCATGCTCCGACCTAGACAGTGGGGTCTGGGAGCGTTGAGAGAGATACCCTCGATCTTGAGGCTGAAATCGTATATCTTCATGCATTGGAGGACCGTTCGCACGCAACGCAGGATTGGAAAGTTGTTCACGTAGATATTCAGTCCTTTGAGATAGTTCTCGACTGGTGTCGCGATCTGAGTGACGAGGATCAAAATCGTGTGTGTCACGAGGATCGCGAGGGCGATAGGGCTCAGTCAGTCTGCTCAGCCCTTGGAAAGGATGCGCTGGATGCTCGTTAGGCGTCTGCGGGTTTGAGTACGACAGATTGGCGTTGGAAGCTTGGGAGTGGTCATTGCGACTAGGTGCGTCTCTTTGCTGTGCCATGTGACTTGTCGACAGATGTGGGCTGGGCCGCATGCCCATAGGTCCGGATGGCGGTACACCACTTCCTGGTGGATCGACCTGGGCATATGGATTTGGCTGCAAAATCTGCGCTGATGCACTCATTGCTTGGGCATGCTGCGCCGCAGTGGTGCTTGGGATGCCGTGTCGAGGCAACGGCCCGGGCGGTCCACTTATGCTTGACGTGCGCGAATGTGGGTTCGGAGAATTGTTGAAACCGGCAAGAGGCGGCGGTGTCGGATTCTGGCGCGGAGTATTATGCTGAGAGAAGACGGCACGGTGGTTGCTAAAGATCCTCTCGTTGACACTCGGTGGCTGAGGCAGGCCCGACGGCGTTGACGAAAGTGGCGTGAGCTGTGGGGTCTGGGATAGCCCTCGGTGGAACGGCTGTTGGGTTTGCCAACTGTCACGTAGACTCGGCCTACTCACTGGTGGTTTATCATCGGTTAAGTCGATTGGCCTGTTCGGTGCTGCATTGGGAAGCGAGGCTTGCTGAGCATATGAAGATGGACGAGTATACGGAGGTTGAGCAGCCATGGGATCCTCGTAAATCGAACGTCTTGACGAAGATGAGTAGCTTTGCGTTGTCGGAGGAGGTGCGATTGGGGCTGATTGCAACGGGGTAGAGGTATGCGACGGTGGGCCTTGTTCGCTAGGTTTCTTACGCCTAGGCTCCTCAGGGTCGGTGTCATTGAGCAACGACATCAGGTTAGACTTGCGTGGCTCTGCAGCTGGCTTTGATGCTACAGGTGGGGGCGTATTCTGCATAGGTGGTGGACCACGCTGAGGATGTTGCAACTGTGTATGCAGCATTGCTTGGGGTTGCGCTGGAGGAAGGCTGACCGGAGGAGGATTTCTAGGCTCCTCCTTGACAGGCGGTGTAAGAATACTTGACCTGGGCGGCAGTTGTTGCGCACCATGACTAGTGCCATGGCTCGGAGAGTATACGTCCGCTGCAGCTTGATTGAGTGATTGCGCTTGTGATGGGTGCCGGGAATGTGAGAATGGCAACGAACGACGTTCTGGCGACCTCATCCCAGAGTTTGAACGTACTGGCGGCATAATTGGCGGTGCCGCACCAGGAGCAAAAGGTCTATGTTGCGACATCTCCTGTGATATCTGACGCCTGTGTTCATGTATCCGGCGTTGATGCTCCTGCTCCTGCTGAACTTCGGACCTACCCACACTGTCTCGTTCTTGATAGTGAAGCCCACGATAGAGAGGCGAATGATGTTGCTCCTGTGCACGAGGCTGGGGTGGGGCATGCTGCTGCTGCTGCTGCTGCAGTGGTCTATGTGGTTGTTGGTTATTCGATGGTTGCGAGGGTGGTCGTGCCTCAAACCTTGAAGGCTCTTCTGAGAAGTATCCAGCTCGTGGCCCTTGTGGCTGCGGCTTATGCTGCGACATGGAGTGCTGGTGATGATGTTGTTGTGGTTGCGCACGTTGAGGTGGAGCGGGCGGCGACTGCTGTGGTGGTATTGAGGGTACAGACGCAAGGCTAGTCTCTGGTAGGGCAGGATATCCGGGTGGAGGCACCATCGGCTTGCTTTGCATAGGTGCTTGAGCAATGGTGGAAAACCTCGAAGAGGGAGTCGAATGCGGAGGAGATGCTTTGGGAAGCGCAAGCGGGTTCGGAGGTGGAGAACCATGTTCAGGCGTGGGTGCGATGGGACGGATTGGTCCCGCCTGCGTACTCTCATATCGTCTCTTGGGTGCTGGAGTTGGCGTTGGCGGTGGTCCTAGATCATCACCTCGTTCTCTTCGGGCATCTGCCTCTTTTGCTACCTGCTCCAAGTCTAGCTTGCCACTCTCAACGAGACGCAGATATTGGTTCTTGATCATGGTATGCGTTTTTGTGCCCATGTGGTTTGCGATTGCTATCCAGTCAGTGCCAAAGTGTGCAACATTCTTGTCAAAGTCTTGCAACTCGGAGACGGACCAATAGCTAGACGGACCGGGTCTCGCGCCAGGCTGTGTCTTCGGTCGGTCCATGAGGCTGCCTGGCAAGCCAGATAGCTGCTGCAAATCACCAGGCAGCATCAACTGGTCCTCCATAGGAATGAGGGGCATAGGTATGGGCATATCGCCCATCGGCCGTTTGCTGAGATCATCCTCCATCTTGACTCCCAGGTTCTTGTCCTTACGATCAACCTTGACAGGTGAACCCACGGGAGCCGCGGCAAGTGGCATATTCTTTGCCTTCCGGCCGAGCTTGTCTTTCGCAGCCTTTCCGCGCCGCATGGCCTTCTCTTGTGTGTCGTCGGCATCAGTCGGCCTGCGTGCACGGCCTGGAATGGGAATTCCTGTGATCGGGTCGAACTCCGTCTCCATTGCGCCAAACTTGGGTGCTGCTGAGCGCCTAGGTCGTCCAGTATCAGTAACAGGCAAGGGCAAACCATCCTCTCCCGGTCCTTCGGGTCGGTCCATGTTGGCAATAGCTCCACGGCCACGACCGACCGCTCCACCACGTTTCCTGGAAGCCCGCGGTTTCCGAAGTTTGCCTTTGTATTCTCTGCCCCATTTGGTAGCATAGTAGTGATTGATACAGTCTTTGTATGTACGTTCGGTCCCGACTTCTTTGTATAAGACTTCAGCCAGCTTACCCCATTTCTTAGCGTACTGATCCTTGTAGTTCTGCACCATGACGCGGTGTTCGTCAGGAGTGAAGTCGTCCTCTGGTGGCTCGTAATGGAACACGAAGATGCCTTGGCCGGGTTCGCGCTGGAAATTGGTGTCAATAAACCTTCTCCGCTGAGCCTCGGCCTCGGTAAGTTCCAAAGGTAGATCAGCCTCCTTTTCCGGATCAGCCATGGCTTTCCTTGGTTCCTTGTTCTTCCCTAACTTCTCTTCCTCTGCAGTCTTCAAAGACTCTTTGATAACAGCTTCTAAATCAAGCTCAGTAGCCCACCGACTTGCATGACTTCTCCGGCCTGTAGGTGCCAGCGATCCGTCCAGGATTCCAGTCATCGCAGCGTTCTGCACATCGGGGGTGACGGCTTTCAGTGTGGGCTCAGCTGATGGCTGCCTGTCCGGATCATCTTGATCGCGCTCTTCGTCCAAAGGACGGATTGCAACTCGCCACTCTCTGTATGCAGCTGCGTATCTTTCGAGTATCTGATCGGTGTTTAGTTCAGGCTCGATGCTTTTGCGCAACTTGCTTCGAATGGCATTCATGACATCGTCAGAGAGACTCGGCCGGTCTTGTCCAATGTCGGATAAAGGCGTTGGAGGACCTGATCCTAGATACGGCAACGAGCTGAGGTCGGGTAGAGTCTCCTGCTCGGCAGAAGTTTCACGTCGCAGACGAAGCGCCATTGTCGCGGGCGCAGCCGACCTTTCTTCGGTCTGCTCTTTGTCTTCCATCTCGACGTCCTCTGACTCTTCAGCTTTGGGAGTCGGTAAATCTGCCGTAACGCTCTCTGGAAGTGGCTGGACGGGAACTGGCTTTACAGGGAGTTCTTGCGCAGGTGAGGGACGTGAATATTCCTGCTCCTGTTCCTGTCCTAATTCCTGATCCTGTTCCTGAAGTAATGGTGTGCTTATTTCCTCGGTAAGCTCCACATCGGGCTGCGCTTGTGGGAGATGGTCGACGTTCAAGCATGAAAGCAAAACGATCTCTTGCAAGGGTGTCGTAGCTCGGAGGTGTGGAGCACTCAAATCAACCCGTTTGGCTTCCAGGCGCGCTCGTTCTCGGTTGTATTTCGCCTCAGATTCAGCGAAGTCTTCCTCGTCAAGATCAAGATCATCATCAGAGTCTTGCAAAGCCTCCGGAGCGGATGACGCAGCCGACATAGGTGGTTTGGCCATGCGAGGTGACGCTTCTGCCATAACTATGTCAGAGTATCGCCTGGTCTCGATCGGAGTAGGTTTGGGTGAGGGTGCCGCAGGACGCTCCGCAGACACTGCACGTTCTCGTGGCCGCTCGGGTTCAGTTGAGATGCGCGAGAACGACGGTGACACTGATTTGGCTTGTGAGTTTCGTTGAGTCTGCGTTGCCGAGATACTGTTCTCAAGTCGGGGGGCTTTGGGAGCAGTGCCGAATGGTCGTTCCCGATCTTCCACCGGAAACTCGCGCTTAGTGGGGACCGAAGGTCGATTGGAATTGAAACCAGGTCGTACCCATTGCATACTCTTGGGTCCTCCATTCAATGGACCTCTAGCTGGGGGGAAGCCAGGTCGGTCAGATTGTGGGTAAGATGGAAGCGGCCTAGGAGCCATCGGTGTTCGGTCAGCCTTTGGTCCTGTAGGAATATTCGCTGGTAAACTTTGCGGTGATGTGTTCATCGCAGAACCTCCCCCACTACTGCCACGTGGACCAAAACCTGAGGGATTTGCACCAGGAGATGCATCTCGAGGCGCGTATTGTGGTAAAGTTGCTCTAGAGAACGAAGGTGATACGTTGACACGTAGAGCTGCTTGAGGGGCTGTGGGTGGCGCACGCGGTCGTGGAGCAGGACCCTGAGGAGGGGATTTCGCCGGACCTGATGGTGCATTAGGAGCCGTTGGAGGAGCCGTTGGCATAACGGATGGAGCTTTAGGTGGTGCAGGCATTTGTGGCGACATTGGAATCTTGGCAGCCACATTGTCTGAAGCTGATGCATCAGTGGGCTGAGATGGAACAGTGTGAGGTGGAATGGAAGGTGGTTCCATACGTGCTGGAGCTGGATGCGCCATTCTGTTCTCTTGTTTCGGAGCGTCTGTAAGCAAGGGACGATCCGGCGCCCGATCGGCTTTTGGTCCAGTAGGCGGTAAAGTTGAAAGGCCTGGGGGTATAGCCGCTTTTGGTGCAGTAGGGACTACGGTGGCCTTCACTGGGGTGACGGGAGTAGCGGGAGTGAGTGGAGCAGTAGAGGAATTAGTAGGAGCAGGGGCAGGCTGAGTAGGTTTCGATGGCGCTACTGGGGCAGCACTTGATTTACTGTCCGAAATAGGCGCCCTCCAAACATTGGATCCGCCAAAGGCTGGGATGGAAGCAGGAGGCGACGAAGCACGCGGAGCATACCTTTCTCTGGACGCTTCTGCGCGGCTGGCTAGGAGGGCCTCGTCTTTGCCTGGCTCGCGGCGAGGATCCTTGGCAGAGAGAGGATCAATGGCGAGGGAAGATCGTCTCGAGTAAGAATCACCTTGTGGTCCTAGTCTATCAGACGGAGATGCGTGATGAGCAGAGTGCGGTGTTGGACCTGTGGGTGTACCGGGCAGATGTCGCAGATCAGAGGGACCTGGACCTCGATGTGTGTCTAATGCCCGCAGTCCAGGCTTCGCAGCACCTGCTGGGCCAATGTAGGAGTCGTATTCTCTGGGAAATCTTCTGTCATCGCGGTCTCTCCTGTCGAAATCACGATCTTCGCGAACGTCTCTCTCTAGGCGCCTTGGGGGCGTCCGACTACGCGGTCGATATGTTCGTTCTGGAATGCGATCACGTGAGTCGTGATGTCTATCGCGGTCGTCGTTGTGAAAGTTTCGGCCGCGTCCAGCGAAACCACCGCGTCCACGTCCAATCCCACTACCACGGTAAGATGACGCTGTACCAGGAGGTGGGGGATCAGAGTAGGTTGAGCCCGCAGAGGGGGGGCCGTCTCGTGAATTTCGTCGGGCACGGTTGACATCTAGATCTCGCGGTCCAAAATCCCTCTGGTCGCGAGAATCTCTTGAGTCCCGGATAGGTGACCGCCTTGGTGGAGTCGGCCGTCTCTCACGCCGATCAAAGTCGCGATCTCGGTCGCGGTCTGCCCTCCAGGAGTTTTGAGAGTTGTGCGGAAATCCAGGACCGCTACTCAATGGAGGTGCAGTTCGCAGGGGCGTGGCTTCACCACGTCCAGCGAATCCGCGACCTCTTTCATCGCGTGGCGCTGCAGACGCGCTTGATGGCGGACCCACCGGCGGGCCACGTGGCGGGTCAGCAAGTGATTTTGGACCTTTGGGGATCTCTCTTTGAAAGCCACCTGGCTCTGCATTTGGCCTGAAGGTCTCGTTACCCCTTGGGGGGTATCCGCCGCCAAAGTTGGATGGCCTTCGGTCTCGGTCCCGATAGGGCGGAGACCTGTCGCGGGCATATCTGCCGTTCTCCGGGTACCGTGAAGCAGACATGTCGATGATTTCTTACTGTAAAAGGAACTTGCAACTGCGGCATGGGCACGGGTAAAGGTCGTATGTCAGAGCAGATGACGAATCTCCGTCGTGATAGCAGGTCTGAATCGCGTGCAGTAACGTCGTAAGGGAAGCTGTCGCAAAGAGAAGAGAAAGTGGCCGGGTATAGTGTCTTATGTCGATCTCAAACGGTACAGTATAATTGGTCGAGCGAATCGCGGTGTCCTAGACTGACGTTGGCCACAGGACGTCAATCGAAGTTCGTGTTTGCAAGCCGTGGTAGACGAGGCGCTAGCGGCAAGGCCCGTGCTTCGAGACGAGGAAATTAGGGAAAGCGCCAAACCCCCGATCCGCGGTGGAACAGGTGCAGCTTCTCGGCGCCGGGAGCTGAGATTCGATCTGCTATCGTCGCCTTTACGCCCAAAACGCCCTTTTCGTGCTGCAAACGCGTCAAACTGGTGCTGGAGATCAGGAAAAGTCGTCCAAAGATGGCCGTGAGTGTTAAGAAGCGCGTGGTAGTCAACAAAGGCAGTCCCGTGCCGTGTTGAAGATGTTCTGCAGCCCGTTGACGTGGCGCTGGGTCTCTTTGTGAGGGAGGCCCGGGCACGTGAGACTGCACCTTGTTGGTGCTGGAAATGAAGAGTAGAGCGACTCTTTAGCCAGGCAGCGCGCCGGTGATCAGTGGCAGCATGGTGTTGTGTCGGGTGTCGTTGTCGCAAGGTAGGAGAAAGGGAACGTCGAGGAGACCAGACACGAGAACGAAGCACTGACCTGCACCTGGGCAGCCATGACGGATGCCTGCAAGTCAAAATGGACGCCCCGGCTGGCCTGCAACGGCCTAGCGAGGGGAATCCATTCAAGCATGACAGCCCGTCTCTGATTGGACCCAGATTTGAACATTCTCGATTATCTGCAGGGGTGGCAGCCGCTGGTTTTGCTTCAGATTCCAGCCCTGGCTCCACTAGGGGATTTGATGACGATCCCACCCGCGCCCTTCACCAGCACCAGCAAGACACCGATGCATGGCAGCTGAAGGACACGACGCACGAATGAAATGCCGCCTGTAGCACCGTGTGACGACGCGACACTGTGGCACTTCCAGACGTTGATGACAGAAGGGCTGGCACCCTCCTTAGCAGGATCGACCCGAGAACTAGCCACACAGTGGCAGGGATTAGACTGCCATGCGTTAGTCCCAGTCCACGGGTGTGGGGGCTCCCTTTTGTCAAAATCTGCCGCCGCACCGACTCACAAATAGCACATTACGAAAGCTGCAAACGTCGAGAGTGCGCCGAGCAGTCCGAACACACGTCAAATTATCCAGGCAGTGCTGCTCCATCGACCGTTCACCACAAAAACGCCTATCACCATGGCTAGCAGCTCTTCGGCCCCTACTGGCGCCACTGATGCAGTCTTGAAGCCATCCGAGCCCGTGCCTGAGGGTGCGCAAGAAGTGCAGGGCATCGACTTCAACCAGTATACGTCGCGCAGCATCACAGTCGAGGAGCTGGTGGGCGGTTATGCCAACATGGGCTTCCAGGCAACTTCGGTGGGAGAGGCTGTGCGAATCATCAACGACATGGTAAGTTGCTTCTGCCCGGAATATCCGAATGCGCGTGCTGCGGCGTGTCAGCGTCAAGTGCGGAGACAGCACTTGCGTATGCCGGGAAGTTCCCGTCCGTGCACTGTCCCGAAAGACGAAACATTTAGCCTGATTTGGCGACGCGACACCACCGTATCGAGAAGCCTGGGGTTCCTGCTAATGAGAAACAGCGCGCATGGAAGGACACTGAGACAAATGAGCCCACGACGATATTCCTTGGATACACGTCGAACCTCATATCTTCGGGTCTGCGCGAGACACTACGGTACCTGGTCCAGCACAAACACGTCTCTGCCATCGTGACAACTGCAGGCGGTGTTGAAGAAGACTTCATCAAATGTCTTGCGCCAACCTACCTCGGCGCTTTCTCTACTCCCGGCGCCGGGCTGCGAGCGAAGGGCATGAACCGCATCGGTAATCTTGTCGTCCCTAACAGCAACTACTGCGCGTTCGAGGACTGGGTAGTGCCTATCCTGGACAAGATGCTGGAGGAGCAGGAGGCAAGTAAGAAGACAGACGAGCCATTGCACTGGACACCAAGCAAAATCATCCACCGTCTGGGCAAGGAGATCGACGACGAGCGATCCGTCTACTACTGGGCATGGAAGAACGATATTCCAGTGTTTTGCCCGGCGCTGACAGACGGAAGCCTGGGCGACATGTTGTACTTTCACACATTCAAGTCGTCACCAGAACAGCTACGCGTCGACATCGTAGAGGACATCAGGAAGATAAACACGATCGCAGTACGCGCGAAGAGGACCGGCATGATTGTCCTAGGTGGAGGACTAGTGAAGCATCACATCGCCAACGCGAACTTGATGCGCAATGGAGCTGATAGTGCGGTGTACATCAACACGGCGCAAGAATTTGACGGGAGTGATGCGGGAGCGCGGCCAGACGAGGCTGTCAGTTGGGGGAAGATCAAGCTAGATGGAGATAGCGTCAAAGTATACGCAGAGGCGACGGTAGTGTTCCCGCTCATCGTTGCGGCCACGTTCGCACGGGTTCAGCGGTCGCAAGGGCAATGACGAAATGCAACTTGTAGCACACCAACAGCTCGTATAATGGTGACGGAGACACTGCTGTTGACCGAAATAAGTGGGCTGGTATGGGAGCCATGACTGCTGTATGGAGCAACGTTGTTGGCGCGGAGAGCTGACGCAGGGAAGGCGCGGTCGGGCCCACCTTCCCCACTAGTCTCAAAGCTCTAGCGTGACTGCCTAGCCGGTCACTGTGGAGCGTTAATCGATAAGGGGAGCTGAGCTTCGTGTTGATGATGCTGATGACGATGGCGCCATGCCTGCGCAGCCTTGTGCTATGAGTCAACTAGCAACTTGGGTATTCTGAGAGGCTGTGAAGGGCGCAGAGCCTCCAGGTTGAAGGCGTTGATGCTCAAGCTCCATCGGTTCGGGATAGCGCAGCGCGTGGGCCAGCCGATTCCCAGGTAGCTTTACCGCCTCACTCTGTCCCTCTGTTGGCCATCGTGCCGCATGCTGGTAGGCTGCAGCCTTCTTTAAGCTCCAGCCACGCCCAGGTCCAATCTTCCCTTGTCCAAACCAACTTTCTAATATCTAGCCATACCCCTAGAAGCACCCATCGCTTGCTGTTTCTATTCATAACTATCCATACACTTCATCGACGCGATAACGCTACTAGCTTGGTACACTTACCGATCAAAAGCAACACACCACCGACGTGCAGCCTCGTGCATAACTTCTCTCACCAATCCGTCCATCTGCACTTTTACCCAGCCATACCTTCACCTCAAACTGCCCAAACGCTCTTTCTCTCCACTTTCACATGCGCCTACACCTACGGAGCAAACATGAGCGTCAGCGTAGAGCAACCGCTACACTTTAGCCAGCAGCTCTCCAGCCCACCACATTCGCCAAACCACGTACTTCACGCGCACACGCCAGCTTCTCCTCAACCTCCACCACCACCACCGGCTGCTGAACTAGACATGAATACCTCAACCTCCGCTGACACGATGCCGTCTACAGGCCAGAATCATGATCGGGGCGATGCAGAAATGCAAGATGGAGATGAGCCCGCCCGTCGCGATGCTTCCACAAACACCATCGCTGTTGAGATATCGGCTATAGACGAGGACGCCATGGACGTCACACCGGATGTCGAGGCGGAGTCGTTACTGCCAAATGGCTCATCTGAGGCGCAAGAGGCTACTATCACTACGCCGGCATCACCTGCGCCTGTGCTAGACGATACCGTGAGTCAGACTCTACCATCATGAGAGCGCTTCAACTTGATTGTTCATTACTGACGCTGCTTAGACAGAGATAATCATTCCCACAGACCCCCCTCCACCCGTTGACCCCGACGCGCTACCTCCACCTGTCGATCCAAGCACACAACCCCCGCCTCCTCCTCCGCCAGTCGATCCCCCGCGCTCCGACTCAGGATCTTCTGACGACGAAGATGGTCTCCCACCATGGCATCCGTTACCAGAAGACTTATCGTCGCCTGACGAGGGAGAATTGAAGGAGATCGAGGAGCGGGGAGAACACAGTGCTCTGGATCACGAATACTGGGAGGGCGAAGCGTTCAAGCCTCTGGAATACCCGGAGTACACTGCTGGCGAAGCAGGACGTATTCACTGGGCGATCGATGCATACAATGGCACGCAGGACAAGCAGAACCATGAAGTGGTCATGAAGTCTGAAATCGTCACTATCGGAGGCCATCAATGGCAAATCAAGTTCTATCCTAAGGGGAATGATTCGGATTATCTCAGCGTCTATCTCGAATGTCTAAGTGTCCAGGACACAAAGGACAACAAGGATAATGAGTTCACCAAAGACGTGTCTAGCGACGAAACAGTTGAACCAAGGGGAGAGAAGAAGGCAGATGAGATTATGGTGACCGCCGAACATGCACCAACAGACAGCGTGACCGAGGCATCTGCTCAGGTCGTGAAGCTTGCGCAAGACCGACGTGACAGCGCCAAATCAGCATCAGAAGACGTTGAAATACCAGTAGTCACTCAGCATACACCCCTTCCGCTTCTTGGATCGAAGAAGATGCTTAAGCGAAACAGTGTTGCCGCGCAGATATCGGTTGTTCTGTACAATCCAACAGAACCTCGGGTGAACTACTCGCGGAATGCTTTGCATCGTTTCTGCAAAGGCTCTCCTGACTGGGGTTGGACGCGTTTCCATGGACCGCACTACGACATCTCTCGTCGCATACCCGGCCAGCGCATGGCACTCCTTCGTGACGACAAACTTGCCTTCACTGCCTACATTCGGGTTGTGGAAGACCAAACCGACTGTTTGTGGGAGCATCCGATCAGGGAGAACCCGTGGGACAGCTTCGCGATGACAGGATTACAAGGCCTCATGCTCGGAGAAAACGCTAGTGCGCCTGGCGGCAACATGATCTCTGCAGTCTCCTCATGGATGCTTTTCAAGCCCTTCCGGAATCTCTTGTACAGCATCAACGTTCCAGATCCCAACGATGAGCCATTCACTCGGCCTAAGCCACTCACCAGTGCTTTGCAGCAAGTCTTATACATGCTACGAACTCAGGTTGAGCCTGGGGCTGGCCCTGTCGCTCTCGATGATATCATCGATGCATTAGAGTGGTATCGTATACACGAGGGTCTCGACAAGTTGGATGTGATGGAGACATGGGAAGTCTTGCGTCTCAAGCTTGAGGAAGAGCTCCAGGGTACACCTTACGCTGCACGACTGGATGCTATCTGTGGACCGAAACGCGACTATTCAACCGGTAGACCAAGTTACCGTGTACCTGTAGAAGGTGTGGACAGCATGCAAGATGCTGTTAATCAGTCACCTGATCTCACCATTTCGGGGCAGCATCTGCCAGAATTGTTGACGATTGAGCTGGATCGGCATAAATTCGACAGTGTGAAGACACGCTCGCACATCAAGGTTCTGAACAAGGTGACCTTGGATGATCAAATAGTAGTTGCCGATACTCCGTACACACTATACGGGTTCGTGGTCCACAAGCAAACACTTCAGTCTTACGTATACCAACCGATACTCCGACCCGAAGGACCAAATTCACGCTGGTACAGCTATTCTGACAGTAAGGATGAGAATCATGTTAAGTGCCTTTCCAAACACGAAGCAGTGGACGCGCATGAAGGCAAACCTAGCAGCACTCAGATCATTGGCAATGACCCCGTGGCATACATTGCCATGTATATCCGAGACGATGTAGCTCGCTCAGCATTCATTTCAGACTCTGAGTCAGAGCGGTGGGACGTCCCAGAATGGCTCAAGTTGGAGGTAGAATCCAAGAAGAGTTCAACTTCCCTTCCTCCGATGCCGCCACCACCGATCGGCGAGCCAAACTCTGTGGTCGATCAAGAAAAGGGAAAAGAAGTAGTCGCAGAGCCGCCAAAGTTGCTTGACTTCCGTGTCATCGATTCTCGAGCATACCTAGAACATGAAGGTCCGGGTGTCTTCGACGCTTTTGATGCGCGTTGGGAAGCTGAAAACTCAAAGCACGTTCATACATTGTCGCTATCAAGCAATGACGGGTGCAAAGACATTCGTGAAAAGTTGATGGGTGTTTTGACCGATGTCAAGGATCCGCGACAAATAAAATTTTGGTTCCTTGATCCTACACGTGGAGCGTTCGATCGACCGAACTTTCTCAGCACTGGAATTATTGAGTTCTCTGCTGGCAGCTACAATAGATACACAGAAACCAATGGGTGGACTCTGGAGGTGCCGCCATCTGCCTGCCGGAGGATCTGGGTGCATATCACCGACTTCGAAAAGCTTCCTGAGCTTCCAAAAGAAGAAGAGAAGGGTTCGGAGGCCTTCCACCATAGCACTTCTTCTTCGTCTCTACCGGGAGCTGATGCTGAGATGGATGCGATCCAAGTGGTTGAGAGTGCTGTCGAGCCATCTTCTAGTGCCTCACCACCGCAGATACCTACACCATTAGAGGATACGTTTATGAGCGGTTCCGACGAGCCTACTGCTGCACTATTGGAGCAAGCATCGCCTCGCGGGTCAGAAGTTAATACTCCACCACCGCCGCCACCTACAAACAACACGGAAAGCAATGATACTGCTATGTTAGAAGTGGAATCAACTCCCGCCGTTGACCCACCAACTGTTGATGTCATAATTCCAGGCGCCGGCCCTGGTGATACCGAGATGGGTGGTACACAAGAAGACATGCCGCCACCTCCACCTCCACCAGTTGAGACCCCTGTACAGCACCTGCAACCACCCCCGCCAATGCGGAGCCCCACACCTGAACCACCTCCCGACGAGATCTACTTCTTCCTTAAATTCTGGAACCCTGAAAAGCAAGCCCTAGAGGCACGAGGATCGCACATCGCACTCAAGTCTGCTAGGGTAGATGAGACACTTGTGGTATTGCTTGGCCTGGAAGACAAGAAGAAGATGGAGATGTGCGAAGAAGATGAGTTGACCAACACACGGTCTCTAAAGCATCGCCGCACCTTTGCGCAAGTGGATTTACACAACGCGTGTATCATCGTCGTTTCGTTACCACTCTCGGCTGAGAAGCGTAACGCACTTGCAGCCCGTGCGGCATTTGCAGACCCCCAAAGCTACCTCCAATTCCGCGCTTTCGCACGCAATTTCCCTCACAAGCTGCAAGGCCACTTCACCTACAACTACTTCTCTAGCGAATACTACAAGGGCGAGATTGTCAATGGTTTTGCGCACGGTCACGGTACTAGGATATACCACTCTGGCGCCACTTACGATGGCTCCTTCCGCCTGGGCAAACGCTACGGCCATGGCCTGTACACTTTCCAAAACGGCGACACATATGACGGTGACTGGGTCGACAACCAGCAACACGGTACTGGTACCTATGTCGAAGCCGCAAACGGCAACACATATGTCGGCGGATGGCAGAACGACAAGAAATTCGGTGAGGGTGTTACGCACTGGAAGAACGCCCAAGAATCTGAGCGACTGTGTAGAATCTGCTGGGATGGGGAGGCAGAAGCGGCTTTCTACGATTGCGGTCACGTGGTAGCTTGCTTGACGTGCGCACGGGAGGTGCAGAATTGCCCTGTGTGCAGGAAGCGTGTGTTGAGCTCTATGAAGCTCTACTACGTGGCTTAGTTTTCTCAAGGGCAGCTTCTACCGAAAAGGTATTGTGAAGTCTCTTGCAGGACCACACAGCATCGATTCAAGGGGCGCGCACGCGATGTGTACCTTCAAGGTCGGGTTCTGAAACACCCTTCGTTCAAAGACATAAATGGGCCGTATAACTTGGAGATGAGAATTAAGGAGTTTTTGGTTACGGGCATCACAAGAACGAGATAAGGGGTATCGTGATAAGTATTGGCTATGTATGAGATAGGAGTCTGGATGGTTTGGGTTCGGGCGTTTTATTCGGTACTCTTTTATTTCAATTTCTTGTATCAGGGTGCTAAGGCGTAGTCTCTAGACGGCTTTACGATCACCATCAGATCTTCACTTCTCGACTCTGTGCTTCAACCAATTCTTGATTCGACAGAATGAAACAAATAGTTAAATGCATATTGGTATCGGAATTTACGTCGCTTCTGCAAGATTAATGAATTCAGTGTGTGTTGGACTGGATGCAGGTGGCCTTTGCGCAAGGTCCTAAATGAACAGGTGAGTGCTTAAACACCATAGTCTGGGCAGCCGCACACCTCTATCCACTCGCTTTGCCATACAGCTTTGAGTGCACTATAGTTCTCAGCCTGGGTTGACTGAGGTGTACCTCTTGTTCCTGTAAGTACGGCATTGCTCTCAGTAGAGGGATGCATGATAGTCCTGCACTACAATTCTCTGCGTGAAGATGTACGGACATGGCTATGCCGACGCGATGGCACATTGACAATCTTTCGGAGTACACATATCCTGTGGATATTAATAGACAAGACTTCGGTAGTTGTTCTCTTGGCTGTTCAGGTCATCAAATGTGTCGCGCAAGTGTATCCATAGAGCCCGGTGTTAAGTATCGACGTGTTCGAGCGGTTCGGAAGTGGGACTTCGGACTGCGGTATACAGGTTCGGGATCCGAGCGATCGTTGTGATTGAGACGCTGGTCGCATTGCGATAAGGAAGATGCATGCGCTAGGCTGTTTCGTTAAATCGAAACGCTGGATGGAGCTGCAGCAGGCACGGACGCGGTGGTACAGGCAGAATCGCTCGACACGCGACACGCGACGCGCTGTTCCCGCAAGCACGGCATGTGCCGAGCGCATTACGTCAACTGCCAACCCGACCTCCTTTCACCACTTGCAATCCCGTATGCAGCGTCAGACCGATCTTACACGTAAACACTAAAGCGATTTCGCAAGACGCATATGCCAGCCTTGACAACGACGACGGCTCTTATCCAGCTTCAAGCGCTCAGTGGTGATGCACGTCACCCAGTCTTTCAACACGTTTGTTTGTATAAAAGCTTGTCAGAGGGCACTACTGTCTTTCGCCGAGAGACTGGTTTTAAAAGAGTACACCAGATCCTTCCGCCTGCAGTAAGAATTGCGGGACACTCTTGCCCGTTGATAAGATGGGCTGCATATCATGCTCAGGCAATTGGATAGAGCAGCAATCTTGCACGGAAGTGCCATGATCGTTTCATTTAATATCTGTTCGTCTCAATTCCTACCGTTGCCTCTTTAGTTCGATACTGAGCATTGACTTTTGGTTGTATGAGTGCACTTCTGCGCATCGCATACTCACCGATAGCTACGTTCATTCACTACCACAGGAACGTGCGAGAGGCTTCATAATCATTCAGGCGGGGTAAAGGTCTGTGTCTTTGGCTCATCCTCATAAGACCTTCTGATCGTACACCCAATTCTACTCATTGCATACTCACCACGACTAACTGCTAGAACAACAAAAATGGCCCCTTCAACCCGACTACGATCCAGGCCAGAGCGCCGCATCAACTATGCCGACACTTCGGAAGCAGAGCTCGAAGCTGGCACTCAAGTGCCGTCTCAGCCTGTCGCATCAACTCAAAAGCGTGGGAGTAAGCATGCTCTTCGCGTGTACAACATACACGCCTCATCTGGATCTCCGGATGCCTCTCTCATAGTTGCTCCCAAACGCGCCGCTCGTATCAAGGCTGGCGCGGTCGTCAAACCGAAAACAGGACCGAAGGCGCGCAAGAAGGCTCCGATACCGCAGAAGAAGGAGCGGCCGTCAAAGCAAGAGTGCTCGATCTGCGCGACACAAAAGACCACTACTCGTTCATTCAAAGCTCCTCGTGATGCTTGTGAGCATCTTCAGTCTATCTGTAACTTGTGCGTTGCAAAGATGCTCAAGACAAAAGTCGCTGAACGCCAGCTTGGGGAGGCTGAGCTGAGCTGCCCCTTCCCCGAATGTGGTCATCTGCTAGACTATACGGCTCTCCAGGCCATTGTCAGTAAAGCTGCGTTCGAAGAGTAAGTCATTTCCCATGATGCGACTGATCTATATGCTGACCCACTATAGCTATGACAAAGCCGTTACAAAGCACGCTCTATCCATGGGAGAGTCGTATGTGTCCTGCCTTTCCACAGCCTGCGGATTGCACTTCTCAACTCAAGACTGCGAGAACAACAAGCATGGCAAGCAGCTGGTCGCATGTCCCTACTGCGACTACGAGATCTGTCTGAAGTGTAACAGGCCGTGGAAGTCGCATGGAAAAGGCAGTTGTGATCAGGCGAAGAAGGCAGAAGAAGAGCTGTGTGTGAATGCTGTCAGGAAAATGGGAGCCAAACCATGCCCTAACTGCGGTGTGAACATCCAGAAGAACGGAGGATGCGATCATGTGACTTGTAAGTGTCAAAAAGGCCTATATGCAAGCCGCCAAGTTCGATGCTAACAGACAGTTTAGGTGGAAAATGCCACCATGACTTCTGCTGGGTGTGCCTCGCCGGATACACCAACAACATTCGGCACCGCGACGACTGCCCTCACGCGCGGGTTTACGTTGCTGCCGAACCTGGCAACTGGGCTCAGGACAATTTGACCGATGCGCAGATTAACAACTTGATCGCCCAAGCAGCCGCTCGCCTCGATGATCCTACTCATACTCCTGTGGCTGCTCCTGCACCCGCCCTTCAACAGCCACCAGTGCCAGCTCTACCCGCAATCCCACCTTTCGCTGGCATCATCGTTGGAGGGTTTCTGGATGTCGTTAGAAGGGCTCGCGACGGCGGCGGCGAAAATGCAGGTTGATTGCCTAATCATGGTCCTTCACTCCTTCTGGAACTTAGTCCCGGTCTTGATGTTGGTGTACACGTAGCGAGAAGGTGGCTAGGAGTATGGGTATAGCGTGTGTTATGGAAGCCAGGAGTGACTCGTTGTCAGTAATGGGCTTTCGCGATACCATAGGTTAAGGTGAATGGCAACCGTACCCGTGCAGAAGAGTGTACTCTAAGTATATACTCTTATGAAATACTGCAAGTGTTGCAAAAAATAGTGCAGTGAGGCCCTTTGGATATACTCTAGTAATGCCGTGATGCACTTTCCCGGGTTCGAACAACGAACGATAGCAGTAGCGCTCCACCCCCAGGCATGACTTCTTCACGCGTGAGTCTGTTGTCTCTTCATCTGCACTCGCTACCGGAATCAGATATTGCTACACAGGACTATGATCTATCTCGACTAAGGCTACATCATGAGCGATACCAACTCTGACGACTGGGTTGACTCACCTAACGACTCGCCAGAAGTAGATGAGGATAGACAAAGGTAAGACAGGTCTCACGCTGAGCTTTAGGCTTCGCAAACACTGACACTCCTCACTTTAGCGAAGCGGACAACGTGAACGCTAGTTCAGTTCAGCAAGATGAGCAGCAATTTCCGCGAAGGAGCCTGGAAGAAGTAGAGGAGACTGCGTACGTATCTGATCCTCACTGACAGACTTCGTGAGATTACTGCGACCTCACACACCTATGTTTTGATATTTCAACTAACACATTCCAACAGTGCGAACGCACCCAGACGCACCTCATCCCTATCATCAGGCATCGCAGCTATGTCACCCACCGAACTCGCTTCTGCCCAACCACGCCAACCCACTCCCCCACCTCCACCGCATAGTTCTACTCTGCCCAATCAAATTGAACATGCGCCCGATCACTACCGGAACCGCATCCCCAAGGTAATTTGAACCCATGCGAAATGCATCTGAGACATACACTGACTTCGTATCTTCGCATCCACAGTCCTCTTTACCAGACTACCATAACCCGGACTCACCGACGCAGAAACGGGGGAAGGGCGTCTTTCGCAACCCAGTAGCAGATACATGGCGCGAGGACGCGTACATGAAGAAAGAGCCGACTCATCAGAAGATGACCGCTAGAGAAGCCAGCGAGGTGCAAGATAGGTGGAGATGCGAGTACTGCGGTCGACCGTATGAGAGAGGGATTGAGGCAACTATGCCGGAAAATCCAGCCACTACCGAGCTGGCAACACTGAGACGCGACACTGAGAACATAAGGATCGGTGCTGCTGGGCCATCGCGAGCGTACGTGTATCTTCTGGGGTCGTACAACTATCTAACACTATTTCAGATCAGCAGATCCATTATACGCCCACGCACCTTCAACTTCCAGCGTGTCTTGCGCAAGATGCGAATACTGCAAAGAGAAGCTCCCTTTCAACATTATGACGTACGACGTTCGTGAACTATGCGAGGACGGTATAATATAGGGTAATGTACATCGGTCTGAAGCGGTCATACAGGTGTTGAGACCAAGGGCTAGGGCTAGAGTAGCACGCAGAGTAGCGTTTAGGCGAAGGGTGAATTTAAGAAACGAGGAGGCAGAAGCAAATGATCAGGAAAGAGAAGAGAACGTGAACCCAAGGGAAGACCAGATTGAGGGGAATGATGCGAGGAATGATGAAGATGAGTGGGAAGACGACAATGAATGAGTAGATTGCGGGGATGGCATGGAAACCCACCCACACGGATGTAGCAGTACGTTTCTGGGCCGACTACCATTATATCATCAGCCATTCTACCAACTACCCAACCACCAAACCAACCCTCCAACCCCCAACGTGATCCCACCATGCCATGCCAAACCCCAAGCCATCGCAAACAGAAATTTCGGACTAAATACGGTCCAAATGAAAAGATGTTGTCTCAAAACAGTACAAGCCAACATAACAGCACCCAGCATAGCTCCAGTCCAGAACGTCAACAAGGCAACATGTCCCACCCACTCCTTCTTCTCCTTCCTTATCTCTCTACCCTTCTCTTCTTTCCTTGCAAGCTCGTTCAACCACTCTCGTTCCCTAGCTACCCAGTCCGCGACATGAAGTTCGCTAGTATCAATGTAGCGCTCAGTACGGCCGTGAGAGCCTAGGAGGAGGATTCCAGCTAAAGACCAGTATACGGGTCCAGCCCAGTTTGACAGGAAGACTAGAAGGCCGACGGCTAGTACGTTGTAACCGGAGATGCCGTTGTAAGAGTTTGAGAGATCGATGGATGAGATTGAGTTGCTGTTTCCGAGAGCAAAGAAGGAGGTTTGGGTCAAGAGAAGCGTTGTTATGGTTACAGCTGTGGGAGTGAGGTCGAGGAGGGCTGTGAACCGTGGATTAGTTCCGAGAATTCAAAAGTGACGAGACTTTGTGGTCTAGGTATGGAATGTGATGACCTACTGAGGAAGAAGTATTGTAGTCGAAAGAGAAAGTAGAGAGGTATGTTCTGTGCCTTTGTTTGCGTGAGGAGGAAAAGCGTCATTAGGTCGAAGAAAGCGACAGCGAGTTCTGCAATACTGTTAGTAATATCCTGAAATTCACGCACGAGGCTGTCAACATACGGCCGTTGCCCTGTTTCCCGCGTCTCTTTCTCCGCTGCAACCTTGTCCACTCGGAGAAAGCGATCCAGGTCCCACTCAGAAGCAGCCCTCCAAACACCATGCGAGCAAGACCAACAAGCTCCAACGTCTCGACCTTCTCTACCAAGCCTGCGCTGAGACCATAGGTCAGCTCTGGCGCGTCTTTGACGGTGAAGGCAAGTTTGAATATCAATGCCGTTCCGCAAAGCGGCAGTACAGCAATCGTCCCAAACATGCGATTTTGATCCGTGGACTCAATCTCCACACTGCGGTGTTTCTGCTCTGTATCAAATGTCGCAATGGAACGCGCAACGTGCCTGGCTAATCGGATTGTGATGTCCATGTACGTAGCGGAGATCAGAATCCAGAGGAAGACCGAGGCGTTTCCGTGGAAGATGCCACTGTTGACAATGTCATCTGCGCCGGCGTACTTCTGTCCGGTCTGGTTCCATCGTCTGATAATCCTATGTATAGCTAGTGCCATAATGGCAGGGTGGAAAATCCAGTTGTTGTACCACTCCTTTCGCATGTTATTAAAAAAGAGACATAGGAACCAACCAGACGTGGCCCAGTACCAGAAGTTTTGTTCCTCTTCAACGTATGAGGATGCGAACATGAGTAGCGCGTACAAAACGAGAGCGAATCCATAGTAAAGGCCAGCTGGTGTGGCAGGTCGGAAAGCAGGAAGCGCGAAATAGCTCAAGGCGCAGATGAGGAAGGCTGAACCGGTTCCCAATAAGAGGCGAGCGACGTTGTAATTCGAAGCTGTGCTAGACATCATTTCCTGGGTTTCGTGCATGAACTCGTAGACCCGATCTTGGAATTCAGCACCGTTACTAGTCGCACCAACAGCTGCTTGCCAGAGACATGCCAGCAACTGACCGTCTGATAGATGCGAGCGGCTTTCTCCAGACTCGAAGCACGCAAACCCCAAATCGTCTTTCGTCAATGGCTGTTCGTCGAATCGTAGACTAGTATACTTGGCTTCGACAATTTTCTTCATCTGCTTAGCATTGCGGTAGAGAAGTTGCATGCGGTCCGACGGCTTATCCCAAAAGCCCAAGAATTCTTTCAGAAAGACGCCCAGGTTATTCTGTGGAACTGGAAATCCGAGCAACCCTGCAAGCGTTGGAGCAATATCGCTCTGTTCAACCAACCGGTAATATTCGAATTCTCCTTCATTCTTGGGTTTGATCGGACTCCGCTTATCAGCAGATTCAGTGACCTTGGTGAGCTTCGGGCTCATGAAGACGAGTGCTGGAGAGGTTTCGCCTGGCGATGAGCCACCGTGGTTACCGCCATCATTCATGCCGTGATCGCCGCAGAGTACAAACAGAGTGTTGGACAGATGGTCTTCGTTCTCGATGGCAGAGTAGATGTCGCGAACGATGCCGTCCATCTCGATCTGTTTAGGAACCATATTCGGACTACATACAGATCAGTACCCTGCATCGAGTTGAGTTTATTTGCCAGGATTTATGCACCTCTTAGGACCAGCCTTATGCCCAATGTGATCCAACCCCAGGTAATGCATAACCATGGCATTCCAATCACTATTCAATAACTCGTTAGGAATATGTCTCGTCACGTTGTTGTCAACCTCTGTGAAATCCTGCGAATTTGAAAATCAACATTTTATTGCTCCTATATACAGCAGTGGGACACTTATGACTGACCGAAACGAAGAAGCTGCTTGTCCCATCGGCGCGCTCAAACATGTTCGGGAAGAGCTTCAGCCAGGTGTCGTCGCCGTACATGACCAGCTTGCCTTTCTCGTTATCATAGTCCTTTGCCTTGATTTGCGCAAGCCATGTGTCTTGCGTAGCGAGTGTGGACGTGGTATCCGATTCGGCGAAGTTTAGAATTACGTCTACGAAGGAGGGTATGGAGCCTGTGGTTATGGCTTTGACGCGGGGCATGGTGATGGTGGGAGAGGTAGCGTGGGCCGTGAACGGAAGCGCAGTGCCATCTCGAATGAGGCTAGCCATTTGTCAGTCATGATATTGTGCGCGACGTTCGAGGAAAAGGACGCACCTCTGCACGAAAGTCATGCCGCTTTCCTCTCCATACACAAAGTCGCTTCTCAGCGCATCGACAACCATGAAGACCAGCTTGTCAAAAGGTGCCACTGGTGGCTTCCGCCAACCCTCACCCATCTTCCCAGACGATGAAAGCTCTTCATACTCGGCTAATCCGGGCATGAAAGGTTTGTACGGGAAGAAGCCAGTCGCGAAGACCAGTATCGCGACGGGGATGAGCAGGTTCGCAACCGTGAGAAGAACCGTTCGAAGCGCCATTGTGACCTATTTACCTCTGGATTAGTTGATGAAGAGTTCGAGGCGCGTTCATAGCATGATGAGCGATTCCAATGCCAGAAGGGAAAGTTCACGCGTCCAACATGGTATCTAGAGACGCGACGTTACGTTTGTGGCTCTGAGAACTCAGGGTCCAAGCTCTAGTCCCAAGAGAATCTAGTGGGTAACGCCATGGAGCCAATGACATCACTACCTCGGATGGAGAGCTTCCCAAATGTCAGCATCTGCTCCGAGCAAGCATCCATGTATCCAACGCCATTGGGACTTGCTGGTTTAACGAGAACGAGCTTGCCTGTCTGCATCCCGGCTCCGCACATCTACTTTGCGATCCGTTCTTTCCGCTCCGCCAGCCGCTTCCCGAACTCCGGCCGAACTTTCGAAAAGCAGCTCTGCGCGTACCTCCAGCAACAACACGTTTCACACACTCCTAGATCATCGACTCGAGCATCCAACATGTCATTTATTCTTCCTGGCCTTCGTAGAGGCTTGATGCTCAGTACGCCACTCATCTTGTCGACACCTTTGCTGGTATATCAGTTCCGAAATGCACAGCCCATACGATGCGATGGCCCGGATCCCATCACTAAAATCACAAACGACCTCAAAAGCAACTACGTAACCGAAGCGAGAACACCTGTTATCACTCAATCAGGTGCTATGAATCCGAAAGCAGTCCGTCAAATCAGCATGGGAAGCATTCTAGGTGTGATCGGAGGGCTGGGAATTAGTGTTTTCAGCAAACCTCTGGCTGTGTTGATTGGATTGGGAATATTTGCTCTGCAGGTACGTTTGTTGTTTCATTTGTGAAAGTCGAACTGGAATCTAGGACATGGGACTGGGATATCTATATGGTATATGCAAGACACGCTACCGTTTACCATGCTTTAAACTTTCTAGAGAACGGAGTTGACATATGGCAGTTCATCGAGTCGCGAGGTATTCACGTCATACCATATTCATTCCTGGAGCGCCGGGTAAAGTCGATGAATGTCCGCTCACTAGTGCGCGACAATGTGGCCTTCAAGTTGTCCTTCGGTCTGACTTTCGCGATGGCAGCGTTTGCCGAATTTTAGAATCTTGATTTTGATGTCTTTGCTCAGTACGCGTTCGGCTAGTGGAAGCCCTGGGCGAAACGATGTGCTGGATTCATTGCTTGGGGCTGCAGCTGCATTTGCAGTTGCTTGCAAGTCTGCCAAAAAGCTTTGACAGTTTCCTTGAAAGCTGCCCCGCTTCTTGCGTTTCTGTACATATGTCAGCATCAAATCCAAAACTCGCAATCATGGACAAGTCTTACCTGGTCATGCTCTCGATGAGCTTGCGCACCATATCCTGAACGCCTTGGTCTTGCTGAAGGCGCTGCAAAAGCGGTTGCTCTGCTAAAGAGTTTGTGATGTACGTCCTTGAGTTCTTGTCGGCTCTTATTAGAGCACGTAGGGGTGCGATGATATGCTCTAGACTTGTGAAATCTACCTCACCGCATATATTAGCTATGAGAGCAAGCGTCACCGCTGGACCAAAGTGAGCTACGATCTCCTGCGTTGTGGCCTGATGAGGGCTATGAGTATTGCCTGCCAATTCGAAGATATCCTTCCACAGTTTGGCGGCTGCGCGTTTTGGTAGCACTTCAGGCGACTTGATAGACTCAACCGTGAAGCCGAACATGCCTGATAGATTCTCTGGTGACTCTTGCGTCATGATTGTTGGATCGGTGTTGATGAAATTCTGAACGAGTTCTATGCAGCCGACGGCAATTTCGGGGTCATTGCGTGGATGCTCCAGTGCTTGCATGATTCTCAGATCGTGTTGAAGCAATCGCTGGGCCTGAACCTGGAAGCCTTCCGGTTTATGATGCTTGTGTGACGAGATCCAGCAGCATGCTGTCTCCAAGACAAATGGCAGTCGCGGCGTCTGCACAGTGGTCTTGGTGATGAAGTCGATAGCAGCAGAATGTGGTAGTACGAAGGGACCGGAGACAGTTTCCTTGAACCCTGTGCGAAGAACAGAACACGCCGCTTCGATCATCTCGTCGTTACCAGGAAACATCGAGGTCATGTAGTTGATGAGGTTGATGACCTGATTTTGGATTTCTTTGCCCGGCCCTTGCTGCCAGAACACCGAAGGCTCCTTGTCGGATTCCAGGTCCACCACTTCTTCGTCTGAGGCTTGCATTGATTTTCCGACGCTCGCAAGGCACTTCAAAGTGGTCAAAGCAAGTACTTGACCTACTTCTATATCTCCTCCTTCTTTGGTGATGTTGAGTGATTGCATGGCATCGCGTGTAATGTACTGAAAGAGCTGTCGTACACCTTCAAATTGCTTCTCTTCTGTGGGCTGAGCTTGTACTATAGCGGCGATACCTTTCAGAACCATACTCTTGGTGAACTCTTCGGCCGTTGGATAGGTCAGGAATTGCTCGTACATCTGGAAGAAAGAAGGCAATTCTCCAATCAAGGACTTCCGGCACTCGGAGCAAAGTGAAGCAAACGACTTCGCGGCTCCGTGAGCGATAGCTGGTTGAGCAAGAGCGGTGAGCAGAAAGGGTAGAACTTGAGGGAGGAACTGAGGGTTACGGAGGAAGAAATGGTTCAGAGCTGCGACGAGCTCTACTGCGGTCCTTCGAGTGATTGCAGGAACACCGGGGGTATCAGAAATGGTTGAGAAAACTGGTTGCTCGAACAATCTGATCAGACGATCGTCAGAGCTTCGAGTTAGAGCGTCAGCGATGGCGATCAGACCAAAGAGCCCAGTCTCGAGCTCCAACCAATTGCCAGCACTCAGTCCACGTAAGGCAAAGTCGACGAATTGATCAGTAAGAACGTCGCGTAAAGGCTCATATGCTTCCATGATGATGTCTCGGACATCGATTCGAAAGACTTTAAATGTCTTTCTCGCGTCAGAGTCCCACGATTCAGTGACATCAGCGGGTGGATAGATGATCTTCTGCACAAGCTCAGAGACGGCCTGAAGCACATTAGACTTTGCAGTGTCCATCCAGTCTGGTGGTTGCTCTCCCGCAGTATACAAGAAGGTCTCTTCGGCGATAGCGCTGACATAATTACTCCAGAAGTCGAGTACCACCGGCGCGACTTCGTCTTCGGCGCCTACTGGCTCGGGGTACTTGAGAAGATCATGCAAGAAGGACATGACCTGCTGATGATGTGTACTTCCTGGCTGGCTGTAAATGACTTTGGTGTCAAGCAGAATCTGTCCATATGCGACGATGATCCGGGCGAGGGAAATAGTCTCAGCATCAGAGTTCTTGAGTATCTCTAGACCCCATGGACCCGAGATTGCTGACCACAGCATTTCCTGATGTTTTGTTTCGAAGAAGGTGGCATAATTTTCGAGAATCTCAGCCACCAATTCCATGGCATCTTCGACGTGATATTCCAGACATGTCAGAGCGAGCTCATTTACCGAACGGAGGTGTTGTAGCTTTTCTAGGTCGTCCTTGAATTCGGATTGGGCATAGAAAATCCATCCTGTAAAGCACTTCAGAGCGGCCACGCAAATCTTCTCCCCTTGCTGCACTGATTGTGCGTAGTTGGGGTCGTCAATGGATATTGACAACCATTTGATACCACGACCGAATGCTACATGGAGAAGAACCTCGACACTCTCTACGTTTGCTACCATTCGCTTCGCTGACTTCTGGTCTGGAAGATTGGATGGTTTCTTAGCTTCGTCAGCTAAACTCATGGTAAAGTCAAGCATAACTAGAAGCTGCTCATCGGAGAATTGGGGTAAGAGATCCCATGTCGAAGGATGTTCATCCAATGCTTCGTCTAGAACTGGACGTTGGGCGGCGAATGATGCAGCCAGGCCCCTGATACAATGGGTCCATACGGAGATGGGCTTGGTAAAGTACTGGGCCAAGGTCGAGCTGACCTTCCGGGTGGCGATAGATGAGCCTGGGCGTGAGACAAGATGGTGAATTAGCGTTGACAGCAGTTGCTGAGATTCCTCTTCGCTCAATTCAGCCGAATCGGCGTTAAGCTTGACTGTGAGAGTAAGGGCACCGAAGAAGCGAACTTGCTCATTGTCGCTCTTCAAAAGAGCATCTGCAATCTCCCAACCTTGAGGTGAGCGCTGGAGGACACGAAGCGTGGCCTCGTTTTCGGCGATCTTCTTTGCTTGACCAGGTTCGTGTATGGACTTGACCAGGCGCTCGATCTCCTCATAGGGCAGAGGGAAAGTGCCGTTGCTCGCCATGCTGAGGCTGGTATGGAGGCGCTATACTACGGGGTGTCGTTAGCTATGTTGTCAGATGTCAGGGTACCCAGAGACCAGGTTGAGCATTACCGAAAGTAGGAAGGTGCGACCAGAGAAGTGCAAGGCGCGAAAAAAGGGCGCACAGAGGCGACTGCGAACGTGTTTGGGTATGCCTAATACAACGGCGCTGTGCCCTCTATGCAGTTGACATGACTCGCTGCTATTTTGAAGTTGAGAGGACAGGCTGCTCTAGGCGGCGCAGGAATGTGAAGGTGCAGGACCAGGGCTTGGGGTGAGGCTGCGCGAAGTTGCCTCTACCGTCGCGTATGGTGGGGCTAAATCGATAGCTAACCACGACGACGTGAGCTCATGTTATGAGCTATCGAACTTCGAGGGATTTGATGCTAGACTAAATACACATGTGCCTCTCCTTGGTGCCTGAGCGTAAGAGTTCTTGCGCTTGGCAAGGCTTGATTGGAGCCCTGGGCGATTGCGCTTAGTGCGGGAATGGATGCGGCGCTGGAGACGTGTAGGCGGGGTGTCGTGCATGTACCGATCGTAGGCGCGAAGCAGTGCTATACCTTATGCTCCTCCCGCGTTTTCTAGGGCGCTCCCACGCGACAGCTGCAGCATACGTAGCCAGAAAGACGCCTCCGTTTTCTGTCAGACCCTTTCACGCCTCTGCTGCCCTGCGTGCTATCGATATGGCCAAAGTAGACACGACCCAGCGGCTGGCGGACCTCCGCAAGCTCATGAAGGAGCGCAATGTCGACATTTACAGTAAGCGCGCTCACGACTAGACATGTGAAGACAGGCAACTAACACGTGATAGTGGTACCGTCTGAGGACAGCCACCAGAGCGAGTATATCGCGCCATGTGATGCACGACGAGGTCGGGCCCCCGCTTCCTATCGCGTCGCACCCGTTGACACCACCTAGCATACATCAGTGGCTTTACCGGCTCTGCTGGATATGCAGTCATTACGCACGAGAAAGCCGCCCTCTCCACCGACGGACGCTACTTCAACCAGGCCGAGAAGCAGCTGGACAGCAATTGGGAGCTCCTGAAGCAAGGCATACAGGATGTACCTACCATCCAAGAGTGGACCGCAGATCAGGCTGAAGGGGGCAAAGTCGTCGGTGTAGATCCGAGCGTAGTCACTGCAGCAGACGCTCGCAAACTTGCTGAGAAGATCAAGAAGAAGGGCGGTGAGTACAAAGCCATCGACGACAACCTAGTAGACTTGGTGTGGGGGGACCAAAGACCAGCACGACCGAGCGAGAAGGTTATCACTCAGCCTGAAAAGTACTCTGGCAAGAGCTTCGAAGACAAGATTGAGGATCTGCGCAAGGAGCTGGAGAAGAAGAAGAGTCTGGGCTTCGTCGTATCTATGCTGGACGAAGTCGCCTGGCTCTTCAACCTCCGCGGCAGCGAGTATGTACTTTGTCCCCACATCAGAATGCACTGCTAACAAGACGCAGCATCCCATACAACCCAGTCTTCTTCTCCTACGCCGTCGTTACGTCTACCGCAGCTACCCTTTACGTCGACGAGAGCAAGCTACCCGAAGATGTCAAAAAGCACTTGGGCGATAAGGTCACGATCCGACCATACGAGGCTATCTTTGGAGACGTTACAGCGCTGAGCCAGGAGCTGTTTGAGGCGAGCGACAAGTCAAACGCACAAAAGAAATTCCTGACTTCAAACCGGGCATCATGGGCTCTTAACAAGGCTCTTGGTGGTGACGAAAAGGTCGAAGAAACCCGCAGCCCGGTCGGAGACGCAAAAGCGGTCAAGAACGAGGTCGAATTAGAAGGCATGCGACAATGTCATATCCGTGATGGAGCTGCATTGAGCGAGTACTTTGCTTGGCTGGAAGATCAGCTCATCAACAAGAAGGCCACGCTGGATGAGGTTGACGGTGCTGATAAGCTGGAGGAGATCCGCAAGAAGCACGACATGTTCATGGGTCTCTCTTTTGATACCATTTCGTCAACCGGCCCGAACGCAGCTGTTATCCACTACAAGCCAGAGAAGGGTGAGTGCGCCATCATCGACCCTAAGGCTATCTACCTATGCGATTCTGGCGCGCAATACCGGGACGGCACCACTGACACGACACGGACCCTACACTTCACTGAGCCTACCGAGATGGAACGTAAAGCATACACGCTCGTGCTCAAAGGCAACATGGCTCTCGAGCGTGTCAAGTTTCCCAAAGGCACAACCGGTTTCGCGTTGGATGCATTGGCTCGTCAGTTCTTGTGGGCGGAGGGTCTCGACTATCGTCACGGCACTGGACACGGTGTAGGATCCTTCCTCAACGTACACGAAGGCCCAATCGGCATCGGAACCAGGGTGCAATACTCCGAAGTCTCGTTAGCTGTAGGCAATGTGGTCTCCGATGAGCCTGGTTACTATGAAGACGGCAAGTTCGGCATCCGCATTGAGAACATGGTTATGGTCCGAGAAGTCGAGACGAAGCACAAGTTCGGTGATAAGCCATATCTGGGTTTTGAGCATGTAACGATGACTCCACACTGCAGGAACCTTGTCGATATGAGCCTGCTTACAGAAGACGAGAAGACTTTCATCAACGAATACCACAAGGAGGTCTACGAGAAGACGAGCAAGTTCTTCGAGAATGACTCTTTGACACTGGAGTGGTTGAAGCGCGAGACAGCGCCCTACTAGAGGATTAGGGTACCAGTATCAAGGTAGTCTTCGGTATTGGCACGGCGTTGGCATACTTACAGCGTTAGTAGTGTATACAGCAGCATGCATGGAGCCTGGCGTTTCCAGCGTGTCCCAGGGTTCTCTTAGGGTCCAGGATGAGCTATTGCCCCACTCGGCCCGAAATATCATCAGATGACGGCTCAGCTTGTACCTATCTCAGCAACGGCCACTGCAGACCAAATGAAAGCATACAAATCATCTGACTAAGCGACGGCAATTCACGGCCCTGGTTCACACTTTCCCGACGGCTGATTGGCGTGTAGACATTGCATGTGTCAAAAGGCGCGTAGCGGGGTCTAGATGTTGTCGCGCCGCCGCGGACTATGGCGGGGCAACCTCCGAGCTGCGAAGGCGGGATGGAGGGACCTTACAAAGGCAAAAAAATATTGCGATGCCGCGGGTACATGTACAGGTAATACATCGCGTTTGACTTTGACTCACGATCTTACCTCGTTTTCTCTCACTTAGACTTTAATTCTTCATCGTCTGTGATAACACTCTACTCTACGACACTACTAATTGACTTGACCTTACCTCCCATTATTTCCGAATCACTTCATTCACAACACAAGACACGTCACAATGGCAACTGAACTCCCCACCACAAACGGCCACAGCGCACAGGATGGCGAGAACAACTTTGCCGTCAAGGCCGGTCTGGCACGCATGTTGAAGGGCGGAGTCATCATGGACGTTGTCAACGCTGAGCAAGTAAGTCTCTCCAGTGCTGACGTCTAGCAATTCGAGCAACAAGACCAATTGCTAACCAATGTCGTCCTACAGGCGCGGATAGCAGAAGAAGCCGGTGCTTCAGCCGTCATGGCCCTCGAGCGCGTGCCCGCAGACATTCGATCCCAGGGTGGTGTCGCACGTATGAGCGACCCCAAGATGATCAAGGAGATCATGGACACAGTCACAATCCCCGTCATGGCCAAGGCGCGAATTGGACACTTTGTCGAATGCCAGGTACGACTTGACGACTTCCAACTTTTCTGTCTTGAGGCGGATCCGCACTTTCAGCATTTGAAAGACCCATTTGCTAACGCTTACGGATAGATCCTCGAAGCCCTAGGCGTCGACTACATTGACGAATCCGAAGTCCTTACCCCCGCCGACGCTATTCACCACGTCTCCAAGCACCCCTTCCGCATTCCCTTCGTCTGCGGCTGCCGGGGCCTCGGCGAAGCCCTTCGCCGCATCTCGGAAGGTGCAGCCATGATCCGCACAAAGGGCGAAGCCGGAACCGGCGACGTCATTGAGGCCGTCCGCCACATGCGTACCGTAAACAGCGAGATTGCCCGCGCAAAGAGCATGTCAGAGGAGGAGCTCCGTGTCTACGCAAAGGAGCTTCAGGTCGACTATGCGCTGCTCAAGGAGACGGCTAAGCTTGGTCGTCTGCCTGTTGTCAACTTTGCGGCGGGTGGTGTCGCAACACCCGCTGATGCTGCGTTGATGATGCAGTTGGGTTGCGATGGTGTCTTTGTTGGTAGCGGTATCTTCAAGTCTGGAGACGCAGCCAAGAGGGCTAAGGCCATTGTACAGGCTGTTACTCACTACAAAGACCCCAAGGTGCTCATGGAAGTCAGCATGGATTTGGGTGAGGCCATGGTTGGTATCAACTGCGGTACAATGGGCGAGGAGGAGAAGCTTGCTAAGAGGGGATGGTAGAGCAGGAAGATCATTTCAAAGGCGTCCTTTGGAGGCAGCCATGATTATTATTTGGCGTTCGGGAAATTCAGCTCAAGCGTGGGCTACGAAAATGTATAGAAGAATAAGCTCAACTCGCAATGACGATCAGTTCAACATGCCATTCTACCCAGCTTTCGTCTTGTCATTATCAATCGCTGTAACCGAAACAGAGTTGAGCAATTACTGTGGTGCGACACGAGAATTCGCGATGTCGTAAATCACGTCATTTGTGGAGCCGAGGTTCCGCGCGCAGTCACAATAGTTTGGAAACAGACAACGTATTTCAGATTTTGATTGGGCTACCTGCAATGGGTTGCAAATAGACGTATCGATTGCACCGTACAGTCAAGCCACCGTGATGTTCGTAACCTGCTGGCGCCCACTAGTCCTGCACCAGGGACAGCTGCAGCATCATGCGCTTGCAAAATAATCATACCCATGAACTCCGCTGCGCCGGAGACTAAACCCATCAATATATCCGCGGTCCGTGAACCTATGCGATACAGACGTACAGAGAGAGGTCAAGCAAGAGAAGGCGCATATTTTTAGCGGTCCTCAGCCCACTCGTTCTCGCGGCGGATCTGCTCCTCCTCCTCGGGGGTGAAGTCGTTCTGGATGTTGAAGGTCTTACGGATCTCATCGGGTGACTTGCCCTTGATCATGTTCGCGACGGTCTTGCATCCTACGTCGAGGAGAGCCTTGATGTCCAGGTAGTTGGCGGCGAGGATGATCTCGAAAAGCATCTCCTGGTCGACCTGCATGAACTTCTGATCCCACTCGTCGATGTCGGTGGACTTCTTGCGCGAGTCGGAGTCGTCGTCCTGGGTGGCGGGAGGGTCGTTCTTGTGGTGGCCACACCACTCGACAACCTTCTTCATGACTGCCTCGTTTACCTGCGACTTGTTAGTAAGCGTTCTTGGAGGGTTCTGGGGAGGTCAAGACATACGTTGGGGATGGGGATAGACTCCTCGGATTCACCACCGAGATCCTCGAGCAAGTTCTTGATGAGGATGGAGCGCTCAGCGACAGGGCGCTCGACCTTCATCTCGACACCATCGGAGGTGGTAATGCTGATGAGCTTGACGCCCTCGGCAGTAGTGGAAGCCATTACGGTAGCTAGTTTGTGTGGTGTTAAGGTGGTTATAGAAGTGGGGTAAGCTGTCGATGGAGTCGAGCGGATGGACTGGATCGGCAGTTTCGATTGAAGATAGAAAGGGTGCGTTGAGGGGAGGGTCTGCAGGCTCGGGAAGTGAGGAGTTATATATGCACAGGCGTTGTGCTTTCACGTTTGCGCGTGGGTGAGTGAGGAAAGGCAACCGCGGGCGAGCAGCTCCGCCGCACACCAACAATGAGGCTAAGCTCAGGCTGCCAAGCGTAACCGATTGGGGAAGGCGCAAGGCTACAATCGACAAAGGTACCCTTTAGTCACGCGAGAACCACGGTTTGTCCGCAGTCTCAGGTAGCTTTCTTAGGCATACACGCTTTGCTAACAAGCCAGTGATGAAAGACATTGTGATTTCGCGCTGTTGTTTGTGGGCCAGCCCAGCAGATGCACCATGTTTGCGCAACTGGAACGGCCTATGGCGGACCCCCGCCCGCGCAAATAGTTGAAGGATGACTCTACGCCGCATTTGGGCCGGCAGAAGTTACCAGAATGCGACATAGACTTCGAGTCACTGGAGCTGGTGTCTGAGGCTAATATTGCGCGCATCAGATATCTGTCGTTGGTATCGACACATGTTGGCTATGGTATCTGGCTACTAGATATGCAGGGAACTTGGGTGCACTGCAGTCGCTGCTAGTATGCCAACGACGAGTGGAGATAGACGCGTTGTGACGTAGCAGAATTCTTTTATTCATCATGCGTCGGCCCTGTAATGACAGATATGCCTGTAACGAACCCATGGACTCGAGATGCAGTCCCACGTAACTCGAGACAGGTACTCCATTGATGTTCCGCCACGTGACCTTTCAGCCTGCATAACGGATCCGCAGCGGCAGCCTAGAGCCCAGACAGCCCTGGCGAGTCCGAGATATCATCGCTTGCTGCCACATCGCATCTGATCAGGCCGCATGATAAACGGCCGATATATCAACCATGCTTTTCCGCCAGATGTAGTTCGCAGATCATCGCCGTGCACGAGTCGCGAAACTCTACCCACCATTCGCTATTGATAATCGGCCCCCCTATCCGCGTGCAACTGATGTTTGACGTAGGCCAGCACTAAAACATTCGCTGGCCTCACTTTGTGCAAACAAACACACAACAACAGATATGCGCCTGCGCAACCCCGCCATACTCGACAACGGCGCACCTCGACTTTCACCATCATGTGGCGGAGAGTCTACTTCTTTCTAATCCTTGTGCGCATCTACTTTGCCCTGTCGCCCAGCTACCTGCACCCGGACGAGAACTTCCAGGGCCCTGAGGTCATCGCCGGTATGTCGCGATTCTGTCTGCGTGTCCTCCCACCACCACGACTGACCTGTTTCTAGGACGCGTCTTCTCCTATCCCGTCCACGAAACCTGGGAATTCACCTCCGAGAACCCCATCCGCAGTACCTTCCCGCTATGGCTCGCATACGGTTGGCCCATGTACATCTTGCGCTGGCTATGGGAGGGTTTCGGCTATGATGTCTCGCCGTCGGTCGTATACTGGACACTGCGAGTACTCATGCTGTCGTTGAGTGTCGTCATGGAGGACTGGGCCATCCACGAACTGGTCGCTTCACCCCGCGCGCGTCGCGTTGCCGTTATGCTCGTCGCATCTTCTTATGTGACTTGGACGTTCCAGACACATACCTTCTCGAACAGTCTCGAAACACTATTGGTGCTCTGGAGTCTGGTGTTGATCCAGAGGATAACAGACGACAAGGTAGGTCTGCTTCGGTCCGCTTGCCGATCTAGGATATGCGGCTAACGCAAGGTGCAGAAGCGCTCCGGCATACTGGCCTCGTCCATCCTCGGCTTCATGGTCGTCGTGGGCATTTTCAACCGCATTACCTTTCCAGCATTCTTGTTGCTTCCTGCGACGACCTTGCTACCTCACTTTCAGCGCAAGTAAGTCAACCCAGGTTGTCGTCTTCTCAACTTCAACTGACATCGACAGACCATTCTCTTTGGTCTTCTTGGCTACATTCGCTCTCTTCACAGCTTTCCTTGCTATCTGCGTAGATACGGCGTTTTATACCCCTGGCGAGTTTACCTTCTCAAAAGTCTTCAATGGGCCGGTTATTACGCCCTTCAATAATTTCCGCTACAACTCCGATTCCGCAAACCTTGCCCAGCATGGCATACATCCACGATACCAGCATTTCCTGGTCAATCTTCCTCAACTCCTCGGACCAGCGACGCCGTTTCTGTTCTTCTTGCGCAGGGCGCATATTTCTATGATTCTGGTCTCAGCTATTTCCGGCGTTGCCTTTCTCAGCATCTTCCCACACCAGGAAGCACGATTTTTACTGCCCGCCGTACCGCTAATACTATCCTCGATACGCATACCTACTCCGCGTATCAGAAAAAGCTGGATTATTACTTGGGTCGTCTTCAACGTCGCTTTTGGCATCTTGATGGGCGTGTATCATCAGGGTGGCATTGTCCCAGTCCAGATGAACATTGCCAAAACGAACGAAACAGTTTCTCATGCGTTCTGGTGGAAAACCTACAGCCCTCCGACATGGTTGCTGAATGGCAAGAACGAGGAACTGCAGACCGTAGACTTGATGGGCTGTCCGGCCGAAACAATGATCGAAAAGGTCAAAGAAGCACTACCGCCTTGTCGAACGCGGAAACCACCAAAGGCTGATCGCGGCGCTGTTTACGTGGTAGCACCAAGATCAGCACATGCTTTGATACCATATCAGAGCCCCACCACCTCAAAAGAAGTCTCGTTGCAGGAAGTCTGGAGCTACCGTCAGCATCTCAATCTTGACGATATGGACTTTGCCGACGATGGCGTTTGGAACACCATTAATCGCGTTGTCGGCGATCGTGGATTGGTAGTGTGGCGAGCTACTCGGAACTGCTGGTCTACACCTCAAGAAGGCGAACCTGTCTCTGAATAGAGACACACATTAGAAAGAATCTTGGTAGTTCGATTTCTTGGATTTATCGTACAAGATATCAGAAATCTGGCAGCGCAAGCTAAACACTCGATTTGTTTTCCCCTTACCTTCTTCTGCATATATACCCAACAACTCTTTTACGTAGTTTCTCTTAATATAGAATCAAACAAAAAGACAATGTCACATAAGTGCTCTTTCTTCCCACCGTGACGGACACAGATTCAGTGGTAAGTTTTTTGATAATTGTTGATACATATGTCACCATACTCTACCTGACCCTGTCTATACAGACCCGAAGCCCTCCTTCACAGCGCCCCACCCAACACCCTAACAGCCCACATGGCCATTCGAACATTCATCCCAACCTTCCTCTCCGGCTTCTCAAATTCTTGCTCATTGACTTGCTTCGCATGCTCACCCAACCACTTGACTTCCTCACCCAATCTCCTTCTCAACCCAGGATCCGACGTCGCAATAATAACATTGGCCTCCAAGTCAAGCTCATAAGAGCGTTTCGTATAGTTGCTACTTCCAATAACCGTCAAACTAGGATCTTCCTTCTCCACCTCCGAAGAAGAGGAAGAAGGAAAAGTAACCCACAAGCCCTTGGCATGATACGTCCACCCGCCTTCCTGTCCGACCATACCCTTCTTCCACTCTTTCAGGATGATACTGTCGGCTAAACCCTCGTGCTTGACTTTTCGAAGGAATGATTTCGCGAGATGTGTGTATGCGCCTGGCAACAAGCCGCTTACGCCTTTTGAGCCGTAGAAACCGTTGGCGTGGGGGTGCGCGGTCAGCACAGTGCCAGAGGAGGGGCGGGTGGAGAGAAGAAGGCGGCGGAACGAGGGTGTCATGTTGAAGTAGCCGGCTGTGAAGGTCCAGGAGGAGTTTCGGAGGGGAGGAGTGGTGAGATGTGTTAGGATTTTGGTCAGGGCGGGCAACTCCGTTGAGGATGGGAGAAGGGGGACAAGGGACAGAATGGGGTAGATTGTTGTTTTTGAGGTCGATGATGAAGGGAGGGCGGCGGGAGAGTTTGATGGGACGAGCAGGTGGGCGAGGTGTTTCTCTGCAGCGGATCTGTAGTTTGACGGTGAGTCTAAGGGTGAGGGTGCGGCGTTTGTTGTTGGCCAGGACATGGTGTAGCCTCCACTTCCTTCTTGAGTACTGGGCTGAATGTCGAAACTCAATTTTGCAACACCATCATGTATCCTTTTGAAGTAGTCTGTTAAATCTTTCGATCGGAATAGGTGATACCGATCCTGTCGATTCGTGAAGTAATCTTCACTCAGATTCGCTCCAGACATGATGATCTCGTCATCGACACCATACAACTTCATATGTTGCAAACCCCAACCTTCGTTGATGCGTTTAGGGATGTACTTCTTTCGGAGACCAGTTAGATTGGGTGTATGGTACATGCGAACTTCTACGCGATCTGGCCCGAATTCTGAAATAAGAGGTGTCATAAGAGAGGCGGTTGAAGGGTTTGGTGTTTCCCTGGTTCCACGGAGAGCGTCAGTGAGAAAAGACACCTTGAGGCCTGGATTATGTTGAAGAGCATCCCGGATTGTGGAGATTAGTTCGTGTTCGGTTTTCCCAATGTAGAGGGTTGATAGATAGATGCGGTGTTGAGCTTTTGATATTTTGTCCTGATAGATGTCAGTATAAGGTCAAGTCGCTGTGAGTGCGCTTGCTCACGTGGCTTGGAGAATCGGTCGTCCAATGGTCATGATGCATTGACTCTCTGTTCCCAAACAAAGTAGAAAGGAGTAAAGAGCAGATTTAGACATCAAAGACAGACACACAACACAAGACTGATGGTACAACAGCGAAACGTGTGATGGGTAGAGATGAAAGCACTATGAGCATCTTTGGGGATAGAGACGGTATAGTAGAAACAGATAGTGAATCATGTATTACGGACAATGGAAAGGACTCAATAGTGAAGACCAACCTACCTTTAACGTTTGATAAAACTCAGCGGGCGTCTGAATAATCTCAATTTGATCTGGCTGAATCTCAAATCGGGGCGCTATCTTATCCAGATCTGTTGTTATCGTTGCAAGCATAGAGGCTTGACTCTGAGGTATCGGCGACGCCATCTCAGCATTCGAAGTCGAATATCTTCTCGTTCTGAATGTCCGAGTGGGGATGCGGAAAGTTCTTCTCCCCGCGATCTTTGGGGCTTGGGCACGTAATAAGCTTCGTATTATCATGTTGGACCTTTGATTTGATATGACGCCGACTGCTGGTATGTGCTTCGACTCCTGAAGTTTTGATGCACTTTGGGGTTGGGCGACAAGGATGACTTGAAAACTAGCGCGTTCTTGGTAAAGCGTGAAAGCGGGGCTTGGCACCGTCAATCGCGAAGCAGCAACATCAGACCAGCATCACAGACGCTGAACAGACCAACCGCCGCCATGTCTACGCTTATGAGAACACTGCGCAACCTGCGCCGAGTCGGCCTCAAGGTAGATCCCAATTGTCGTAATAATTGGCCTCGCAATGCTAACACGTCCGCAGGAATATGGCCATCAAATGGCGGTACGCTCGCATCCCCGCGCCCTCACCTTAAACCGCAGATAGACTGATCGAGTCGCCCGCACGTATAGAACATCGGTACGCTCGGATACGAAAAAGCAGACAGGATACGGGAGGTGCTAATATGGCCCAGGTGATACCAAAGCCGGAACCCTGATCGGCCAGGACAAGTACGGCAACAAGTACTTCGAGAACTTGGAGGAGGAGCTTCCCCGTAAGAATCAGGAATCTTAGAGATCAAGGCTGTCGTCTGACCGGTACAGTCCGAACCCGCTGGGTCGACTACAAGGACAAGGAGTTCGATCCGTACGTTATATTGAATAACGGGGAGCAGAGCAAAGCTGATTTTGTGACAGTTCTCAGATCGAGCCTGGATGGCACGCCTGGATGTCATACATGGTCGACAAGTCGCCAGCCGCAGACAAGCTTCTGCAGCGCCAGGTCCGCGTCTGGGAGCCAAAGGAGCACAGGCCAACCCTTACATGGAGCCGTTCAGGATACAAGCCTTACAACACGTGCGTTAGAGAACTCGATTTGAAGTGATGGTATGCTAATGGTAAACAGCGTCAAGCCCAAGTACTCTCCATGGACACCTGTTGCCAAGCCCCGACAGTAGGCATTTCATTTCCTATATTAAGCATTGTATATACCAAGAGAAGAAATGGATGTTCCACATGCTGTCAACCCTTCCAGACGTCTACACTCAAAGCCCCTTCGTCAACATTGGTAAAACTACCTCCTTGTTAAATTGCCACAGCGCACTGCTATCATGTGCCCTAAACGCAGCTCCACTCCAATACGTGCTTTTCAAGCCCTGTAGCGCGTTCATCTCGTCGTAAATCCCAGCCTTTATATCCTCAGATGTAGCCTGGACGTAGAACGGCGCATGCGACGTGTAAACGACAAATTCTGGCTCTGTTGCATTGAACTTGTCAGGGTTTGCAGCCTGTAGCCTCTTGATACTAGCAACGAGTTCCCCTTTGATGAAATCGTCAGAGAGAGGATAAGTCGCATTTGAGACATCAGCACCGTAGTAGATTGCCTTGACACCAGGGATAGCGGTTGGTTGCATAAGGTAGATGCCCGGAATTGCAGGCAGATTGTATGGCGTGTCTGGTGCGTAGTTGTATATGAATAGGTCTTCCGGTACGCCCGTGTTCTTGATTAGAGCGGAGTAGTAACCAGCATTGATAAACCTCGCAAAGACGTCACGTTCTTGCTCTTGCAGATCGAACGACGCAAGGAGATCTAGTTTCGGTGGGATGGTAATGAGGAGTTTTTTCGCACAGATCAATTTCACGCCGTCCGGTGTCTTGACAACGAGTTCCACACCATCGTCGTGGCGTACTGAGTTTATCACTTCAGAGGACAACAACAAGCTATCGGCGTCGAGGAGTTCAGCCTGCGCTTTGCCGTATAACTCGCTGTTGTTGCGTTGAGCTGTAGAGATGAGACCGTTGGCAGCGAGTTGCGCTACTAGACTCAATCCGTTGACACGCGCCTGCTCCAATACTGGCATGCTGAGGATGTCCCCAGTGCCTTGGTTCGTGCTGTACAGTGTTTGCACGATAGCTTCGATACCGTACTTCACAACGAAGTCACCAAACGGCATGGTCAAATCTTCTGGAACAGGGTCCGGTAGGAACATTCCACTGTTCAGCACCGGGTACTGGGCCAGAAAAGCGCCATATGCTTGCAGTCCGGCGCCTAAAGCTTCAGGAGAGGGAGCACTGATGTTGACCTCGATGCCGGTGCTGAGGTCGTAGTTTGCGCGATTTGTAGCGAATTCCGGAATGGCTAGGGGTATATCGAAGCGGGCGAAGTAGTCCAGAACGGTACTCTCGTTGTGAAAGACTAAAACACCGTAGTCTTGTGCTCGACCAGTTACAGGGTCGGTGTAGGTCTCCGTGTGCCCTCCCAGACGGCCCTTGACCTCGATGACTACCAGGCTTTTGCCGGCATCTTTGAGGCTTATAGCGGCGTGGGTGCCAGAAGAGCCGCCACCTATTATTGCTACATCACGAGTGATGATGTCGTTGGGACTGAAGGCTGAAGAAGGGTATTTGGAGGGAATTGAGAGGACAGTAGATACGAAGAGGGAGGCTACGAGGCCCGCTGAGGGAAGAGAAGAACGCATTTCTGGGAGTGCAGAAGCTTCTTCCTAGACACTGGAATAATCACAGGTCCTTCTAAGCTTATATACTATGTTTTTGAGATCCTGAGCATCCACATTGACATGTCTGGGTCACATCGCGGATGTGCAGATGCATGGCTACGCCTCTTGGGGTCCATTCTACGTCCATGACATTGCATCCAACATTCCTTCATGTGCCGAAGCACACAGTAGCTCTTTCCAATACGTCCTTTCCCAATAGAAGAACCCAATAGAAGCGCTCAAAAGCCTCGGAAGTATGCAACCTAAAACCCTTACATAGAGGCGTAAGGTCAAAAAGCGATTCAGCGTCGAGAATCCTACATATATTTTCACCTACATGTGTTTGCACCACTTACCACAGCCGTCCTCCAGCTCACCTTGCTTACTTTTGAAATAGTTGTGTGGAGTCAGACTGTCTCTGACTGGTCGGAAAAGGATCGCGGCGTAGCATGTG